AAAAAAAAAAAAAATATACCGACGAATTGAATACCTCCTTCTTTTGGGAAGTCGGTCAAAAACAAGAATAATTCCAAATAAATTAAATTTATTAGTTACGTAATTGACTGAATTTTTCGAACATAAAAGAACAACACAAGTTCTAATAAGAACTGTTTAATTTTATCATATAAATGTAAAAACTAAAGATCTAAGAGCATTTTTACACATTTGAGTGAATTCAGAAATTTTTCGATTAATTAAATTATTCAGCCATATTTTGTAACCACTTGTAAAATTATTGCTTCTTTTAATAGAAAATTTATTTTTCGTAGACATCTTATAACTTTTTTAATATCTTACATAAGTATTTGATTAAACATGAATGTAAAAAGTTTAGGACCTGTCCCACAATTCTCGTAAATTGTTAGACAACAATTCAACATATAAAATATCGGATTTTATTGCCTTATCTGACAGTAACGTCACTTACGCTATCTGAGCCTCTATCAGCCAGTGGTGGGACAGGACCTTAGGTGAATTAAAAAATGCGATTGTTAGTAACATAAAATTATTTACTTGATTAAAATAGGATCGAGACAATCTTCAAGTTATTAGATTTTTTGAAAAGAAAATTAACATGAAATTTGTATTACTTCAAAAAGGAGGTTATTAACTATTTTTTTTCTTTGGTCCTTGTTAGTCGAATATTTAAGATAACAAAGGTATTTTAGAAATAACGAACCTATTGTTAAGAATCCATAAAAATGTCCATACCAGGTAACACTGCATTGACTTCGCACAGAAATAAAGTACGCAATCTGGAGGAGTCGGCGGATAAATTGAATAAGGTATGCATTATTACATAAGTTACAAGCTAGTCTACAATATTAAATTCTTTTTTTATCTCTTTTAAAGGGACTGTGGTTCCTTAGAACATGTAAATAACCTTTTACAAAATACATAAACCATATAAATAAAAACTAAAATGCGAAAAAAAAAGAAAAATAATGAAAAACTATAAAGACAACATATTTGCATACTAGTTTTAGCCGGCGACTCCGTCCGGGTGATATTAAAAAAAAAACCTATGTGTTCTTCCAGACTATCCTCTACATTTATGCCAAATTTCATTGAGATCCGTTTTGCAGTTTATGCTAAAAACTAAAAAACATCTATCTAAACTTTCACATTTATGTTAATATGATTAAATTAACTAATTATAAGACTGTGTTTTATTAAAACAAAACTTTAGCTAAACGGTTTTTAGAACGGCAAGCACCGTGTCAAGATGGGAGTCCGTTTCGCGGAGAGCTCTCTGATAGAGCCGGCTCAGACGGGCGAGGTGCGCGTGCGGCGCGGGCACGCATGACGCCCGCACCCGCGCCTCATCTGCGCACCGCACGAGCGACTGCGCGCGCTGCACCAGTGTAATATGGCACGCTCCACTGTCGTATAAGAGCGTATGCAAATCTAACACTAAAATACAAAATACAAATTATTTTACGGCTAATACTCACGTCTAATTTTACAGTGACGGCACCGACACGACCGCGTAACCCTAATAACACTCGCCCTGAAGAACTAGTCGGTGCCGTCACCGTAAAAAATAGATGTGAGTAATAGCCGTAAAATAATTAGTTACAAAATGTCGCACGAAAGTTTAAATAATTTAATTACAAATATTTTATTGGCAAAACTTATTTTTTACAGTTCTAAATGTTAAAATTGTTATACAGATATTCTGAATGAAAAATAGGACAATCATTATGATAGAAAAAGTTCCTCCACACTACACAGATCTTTCTGAATTAGCCACTACTTAAGTTTATTTTTAAATGACGCAAGGCTGGTAGCCGCTGTGACGTGGTCCGGTTGTAGACGACGACCCCAATTACGAGCGTAGATTTCTCGGTCTAAGCCGGTCGATGCGCCACTGGAGCCAGCTCGTCCGCGCGCGAGTCACCGTCCCACAGCTGCCGGACTCCTTTTGCGTTTTAAATTCGTGAAACACTACTATCGATACCACAAATGTTCAATCACTGATTCCTTTAAGCGTATACAGAGAGCACACTAATTTAAACCCTTCAAAATCCGCGCTTACTGCCGCCTCATTCAAGGAACCATTTTCATGCGTTGTATTTAAGTTACAAGTGGTTAGTTGTGCAACTAAACAGTTGAGGCTGCGAAACAATCGACAATCGACAACAGTTGTGCGATAGTTTAGTCTGAGCCAGACCTTTGAGTAAACGGGGGCGCACACCGCTCTTACTTAATAATGTTATATAAGTGAATTTATGAAATTGTTTTAATATAAGAAACAAGTAATCTTATGTCTGCATCAATGTTTAAAAGTTTGGTAAAACTTTTTGTTTCTTTGACGAGGGGAAATGGGTTTGCTTATATGTAAAGTTTTTGTGTTTTCAATGTATTTTAGACGTAAGCATATTTGATGTAATTTATTTATAAACATTAGCTTTTTCAATGTTCATATTGTTAGGTGAAAATAAATGTAATAAAAATAAATGGTTTTTTAAATAAGATGTTTTTCATTTCGTATGTGTTTCAAAAAATGTTGACAAAAGTTTGTCAATTGATTTTAAAAATCAATACCAGCGGCGGAGTTATGCCGTAACACACATAAAAAAAGACATACAAACGAATTGAGTACCTCCTTCTTTTGGGAAGTCGGTCAAAAAGTATATTGACTATAATACGTATACTAAAATTGTATAAATTTATACTTAAAATATGTAAATATACTAATACTATAGAGGAAAGAATTAGTCGGTTTGAATTATATATACTCCGAAATTACTGATCCGATTTTAAAATTCTTTCATTATAAATCTACATTATCGCCGAGTAAAAAGGATATTTACTTAATGGGTAGGGTGTGGACATTACAGAAAAGATATAATACGTACATTCTCTGCAACCCAGACAAAGCTAGGGCAGATCGCTAGTTCGCAATAGATGGGAATTCTTTCTCACATTCTAACAGCATTTTTAATAACTTTTTTAAACAAAGAAAGAAGGTTCTATGATGTAAAAATACTTTTTCATACATGCTTCAAAAAAAAGTATTACATTCGGACTTTCCATTCCTTTATATTTCAAGTATATTTGATTTACTGAGAGTATTTCTGTTTGAGAAAATCTTATAAAAGAAATAAGGTGCATTTTCACGCTATATTACCTTGCACTTTACCTCGCACGGTAAAATACCACGACCACAAGACAGGCGTGAAGTGGAAGCAATTCTCATTTAGGTCCCTTTCCTTTCACATCCTTTTTTTGTAAGGGGAGGATAGGAAGGGTGGATGTGTAGTTGTTATTTCTTTTGTAAAATTATTTTGTCTCCGCCCGGCTGGCTTTTATCTTTACTAATGTTATAAAGATTTGTATTTTTGTTTGTGTCGTAATAACTCCAAAATCCGTAATAACTGCAATATACAACTCTCATACAAGATGCTTGGCATTTGACTCTCGGAATTATAAATAACTTAGTAACATATGTGTTCTTCCAGACTAGGGTTGTAACGAACCGCTACCGCATCCGCAAGTGCGGAACTCCCACAAGGAATGATAACTCCGCATCCGCTTCCGCTTCCGGTATTTCTTATGCGGAGTAATAACGGAGGTTCCGTTATTACTCCGCATTTACGTCTTTAACGCGAGTGGGGCGATTAAATAGCGTTTATGCAGACTGCGCGGTCAACTAAATATGATTGTTATAATAAATTGTATCTTGCAATTATCTACCAATTTGTATTTTGAGTTAACGTACTTTCAGTTTTTATTTCTTTAATAAATTACAATTAATATTTTATTATTGACCTGCGCTTTGGCTTTCGTTAACTTCTGCTTCTACAGAGGTAAAGCCCTTCGCTTCCGCATCCGCATCAGCTTCCGTTAAAATGGCCTCGGTTACAACATTCCAGACTATGATCTACATCTGTGACTTTCATCGAGATTCTTTAAGCCGTTTTGAAAATCGGCATAAAGAGTCGTAGCAAACATCTATACTTCCATATCTTCAAACGCGCAAAACAAGAAATTATAATAAAATGCAATTTACTTGAATTAATTTGCGATCAACCTGAATGAAATGAACACTATAATGAATACGTGATTCCGACAAACTGTGAAAGATTAAACTTGGTATATAAAGCGGTAAAATGTTGATATTTTAAACATATATAAAACTCACTATTGACACATTTAAGAAAGTTTCTGCTATAGTTTGTCTAAATAAAATAGATTAGTTTGACAATAGGCAATATGCATATGACGCCAAATTGTACCAAACTTTTTTTAAGTAGTTATACTTTATTAACTATAAAAACAGTCCTGCAAAGATTTTTTTAAATGTAATGTGATTTAGTTGCAAAATGTAATCTTTAAAAAGTGTATTTTTTAAAATTCCCACTCTTAGTTCTAAAACGCACACTCTTGAAGTATTTTACTGTAAACACGATATCAAAACCAACTTTAAAATAAAAAAAAATAATGAATAGAATTATTAGTTACCACTTATTTGTACCAGGAATAATAAAAATCGGGTTTTTGACTTTTTGAACTTGAGAAGCAATTTTATAACAAGTAGAATCGTTTAAAAAAATACATGCATATTCCCTATTCATGTCATAATTTAGTAGGGATGGGTTGTGTAAAATCACGGATGAATCTTTATTGATTTTTATTCTTATGGAAGTTGGAATCGATAGATTCATAGTTATAACTTTCATAAGTTTTTTTTTTAAATTAATTAAAGGAAACACTTTTTTCTCAAATCAATAATGACCTGCAGAACCATTACAAATAATGAGAGTAAATAAATGTCTATTACTACTACAGCCGTACGTAATCGAATTGGATTTCGCTATTATTTCTGTCATCGCTAAATTATCTACACTAGAATTGTCCGCCATGCAATGTTAATTCGATACTTCAAATGCGTCATTTATCAAACTAATCTATCTTATTTAGACAAACTACATATCATCATCATCATCACCAGCTCACTATACGTCCCCACCGAGGGGCTCGGAGCCTACCCTAATACGGTGACTAGGCCATAGTCAACCACGCTGGCCAAGTGCGGGTTGGTTGACTTCACACATATCTTTGAATTTCTTTGCCGATATGTGCAGGCATCACGATGTTTTCCTTCACCGTAAGAACGTCGGGTAAATTATGTACATACAAAAATTCGAAAAATCGAAAATCACATTGGTACGGCGGGATTCGAACCCAAGACAAGATTACAAGTCAAGTGTTCAAACCACTGAGATACCGATGCTCCTAACATACATATATATAAGACAAAAACAGATTTTAACTTTCCATCGACTAGACATCAAAACGAATCTTTGTGTGCTCGCTATAAAAAATTGCAAAGAGAATAAAATGTATTTCTTTAATCCTTTCAACCCCGCGCTGGCCCTCACGGCGTATGGGGAGCGTCCTCCGGGTGGCGGATGGGGGAGCGGTCGGTAGCACAGCTTAGCTACGCTAACCGGCTAAGCCCGATGGGCTCGCTGACCAAAGTAGGGTGTGGTCCTCCAGCAATATGGGGGTTGTGCGGCGGGCTGACAACCCGTCCACGGAAAAAAGTCTCTGTTACGAAACCGACACGAGAGAAAAGAAAACGATCCGATCCCAAACTCAACGAACACTGGCGAGGAACAATGGACACCCGATTAGCCACATGGAATGTGCGGAGTCTCTACAGACCAGGAACGATGTACAAGGTCATCAGGGAAATGGAAACCTATGGAATAGGGGTAGCCGCGTTACAAGAAGTCAGATGGCCTCGACAAGGTGAATGCAATGTCGATAACAAAGCTACCCTCTTCTACAGTGGATCAGACTCTGGACACCATGTGAATGGAACTGGCTTTCTAATCCGGAATAAGCTGTTAGGAAGTGTTGTCCGCTTTAATGCCGTTTCAGACAGAATCTGCCTACTCCGTTTAAAAAGCCAATTCTCCCACATTACAATTGTAAACGCGTACGCCCCCACAGAAGCTGCAAGCGA